AGGAGAAGGCGCGACGGCGAGTAGCATGGCGCGCATTACCGAAGCCTGGCGTTCTCAGCTGTCGTCGTTGAATTACGTTAACACCTTTGTTCGATCTTATCGTCGGTTGACCAGCGGGACCCGTCGACCGTTTCCATTACGCGGTTTCTTGCCATTACACGTTTAATGATAATCTCGCATCCGCATGCTGCAAAACGACGGCGTCGTTCGCGTTCGCAAACGGGGAAATTCACTCGCACACACTTAGCCGCACGACTATTAAAGCGAGTACCTTATCGCTTCACTATCTTTATTTCCGCTAATAAGAATCATCCCTCCTTTTCTCGATTTAGATAATGCGCGTCCGATACGATCGTACAGCGCCAGCGTTTCGATCTGATCGTAATATTCTTCGTACACTTTTTTACAGTCTCCTGATAATCGTGCGGATGAATTCACGCGCGCATAAGCGAATACGCATATTATTATCCGTAAAACTGGAATAATTACATGCGTTGCGATAATGTCCAACTGTCACTTTGTTCAATATCCGCGCATGATTTTACGAAAGTAATATAATTCTCAGGTGCTGTGAGTTATCGTGCGTGTATACGTTATGGACTCTCTCTTTTCGCGAACGCAAGAATTTTCTGTACGATTAGAAAATTGCGTAACACGTTGTTTAAAATTAATTACTATGTATATCGCTTGCGCTTAGTGAAGTCGTCCGGCTCGTTCGCGACATCGTCCCGTACCGGCTGTTACAAACAGCATCCTGTTTATCAATAATTTGAATTTGAAAGACGCACCGAGAGACGGCGAGTTTGCAAGCCGCAACAAATTACGTCTATCGGGCATCATTAATCACTCGGCATCTCCGACATCTGCGAACGCAAACCTCCGCCCGTCGCCCTTTACTTACCGAAGAAAGACGGTGTTTCTGCTCGCAAATGGAAAATAGGAATGGCGTCACGACCGCCCAACAACCTTGAAACACTATCCGTTTATTCCACACAATTAGATTTTAATCGAGAAAAAGAGCGATTTTTCTTATTTTAATTTTGACTCGCTTTGCTCATACATTCGTTTGCAGAAACTTGCGTAAAAATTTCAAAACATTTTAAAAGTATCGATATTCAAAGAACGGTTATTGCGAGGCTTACGATTTGATGCGTGAAAATCTTGAATAATCTTCCAGCATCTTCACAAGAAAACAGGCTATTAAACCTTGTCATTTAAATAAGTTGGTTTACCACCAGCATTATTACCGTAAATCGCGCAAACATCCGATTCGCCTCGAGCCGCGAAGCGAGGGTAGTTTTAATTAAGATAAGTGAGTTCGAGGTGTCGACGGCAAGGATTATTCGAAAATAATTTCGACGGACGTATATAACGACACGCCCGGTTTATCCAGCGTGCTGATCTACGGATTACTTTCGGCCGAAGAGAGAGGATACCTATCCCGAATAAATTACGCGCCGGTAACGTCGATGGGTGGTGGTGGCGGTGGTGGTAGCGTGGAGCGACGTAAGGTTAGGCGGAGTTCGCAAAGAGAGGACGAAGCCAGAGGGAAAGGGAGAGTAAGACGCGAAACAACGAGCGAAAGAGACGTCGAGAACGGATAGAAGAAGAGAGAGACACGGACGAGCCCGAAAGGAGAGCAGGTGCAAACTTGGCCTGTCAGGAAGTCGCTTACAGCTCGAGGACAAAAGCTTCCCGAGGGACTCGTGCGCGTTTGGAAGCGGCACTAGGGACGCACAGGTCGGTCTGGATGGTAGAAGACGACGAGAAAGATGGTTGGAGGGAGCTCGAGGGGAGCGAGAGGGACGAGCCTAACTGTGAAATAACAGGGTGGCCTCTTCAACCCTCGCCTTGAAGATGCGAGCCTCATACGTCACTTCCTTACGGCGAAAGAGGGCGGCGTCTAAGGGTGGAAGCGAGTTATATTGATTTATTTATACCGAGGAAGCATCTCCGACGTGATGGGGTTATTGGGTACCTATATTCTATCTATAACATCCGCTACGGTCTCCACGAGTGGCAAAGCCGGATACCGACATTGAGGATCCTCTCCAAATCTCTCTATCTCAGCCTGGAAGATTCGGATCGATGATCGCGCAAAATCCATTTCGTAGCAATTAAAATCTTTTAAATTCCGCGAGGGCTTCCGGAAGTTTGTGTGATGCATTGCACGAATTTGCAATGACTGTCGAAAAGGTAGATAAAAGATATACGTTGCTCGAGTAATTTGCCATTGTCGAAACAAATTAGTCATGGGAGGGATCATTGTCGACGTACCGAAGAAATAAACGCGGCGTCCGTCGCGTGTCCGACTGTTACATTCCAATTTGTAACCGTCAGCTGTTGTTGGGTGTAAAAATAAAGTCATAGCGGGAGTTTTGCGTCGCGCGTGGCTATACGAATTTGGTTTCAAGCGAAGATGACGTGGTCGTCGTATTAGTCCATCCACCTCCCACCGATCGTATACTCACTCCTCTAGGGCTTTGCCCGATACATGACTCGGCCCTGTGGCATGACTGTCGCGAACACGCGAACCCGTTAGACCAAAGTTAACCCGCAATTTAGCTACGGTGATCATTCAAAGGAGACGTCTCACTCGATCCCACTTAACGAATCTTTCTTGTGAAGAAACATTTTGCACTGTCAGATGCGACAATTATTCTGCAGACGTAAAGTCGACTTCGACAACGTTCAAGTTAGTAGCAGTGGTTTATCTCATGTTGTTTTTCGCTTCTCCGTTTTATTGAGAAAGATTTTTTTTTGTAAAACTTATTTTATATATTTTTCTGAAAATAGAACGGTCTTAATGTATCGTAACTATATACGTTCATGAATGCCACCTAAATTTGACATACGACAGTCGTTGTAGCCGCATACCGAGAATCAGAGAATTCGGGTCAAAATACGGTAGAAACTCCAGAACTTTTTAGAATTCCCACGGTAAATCACAGTTATAGAGTTGATGGGGCGATGTGTATGATTACACCCTGTCTCCTAGCGGCTATAAATCTCCATCTATCCGCCCCACCTTCATCCTAGGATTCTACAGGTATCCAAAGGACCTGTGCCTCCGAGGACTTCGAAATGGCTGTGACGTATAGCCTGGCGGTGCGTAATGGGTCGGCAACGCGAGCAAATGACTTTGAATAATCCTGATATATTGTTTATTCACTTATCCGCGGCGTGGAAAGACGGGATCTCCGGCAACGAGATATCTCAACGAGACATCGAATCGACAATGCACTTTGAATATTTACTTATGTATATTTATCGTGTTTTTATTATCGCATTTTTCACCAATTCTTTTTTAACTTGCACAATATTGATGAAGAAAAGATCATCTCAATAGATTTGCAGGTCAAGTGCCGGGACACACTAATCTCTTGTTATTAACATGATTTCGATTGTCCCTTGTGTCGGAATAACCATTATTTTCGAATCGCCGACACAGCCCTGTCATTTCGATTAACCAAAACTGACGGGTCGTGCCGTGACCGTAAAATCAAGAGTTAAACCCACACTCGCTCGGTACACTATAATCAATCGTTGGCTCCGTTTTTAAATCCATTAGTTTGAAGCGCGCGCCAATTGAACGAGAATTTCAAAATTATATTCAAAGCTAATCGCTGGGGAGTCTACGGAGGATTGATATCGAATCTCTATTATTTGAAATTAACATCCCGGTATCTGTCTGTGATAAAGCGACAGTTGATCGCATGCAAAAATGTTAACAAAAACTTAATATCGGTGGACTGTGCACGCTCGTACAGAACGGGCTGAAGCGAAGCAATTTTCTGCTTTCCAAGAATATAATTTTCGCAGGGGGATGTGCCCCGCTATATTTCCGAGATAAGACTATAGCTCCGCGGGATCTCCTCTCACCCAGCAAGACCCTACTCTCTCGTGTGAAATTACTTCGCTCCGCGGCTTACTCTTATCCCCCGGCGCCACCCTTTCTTACCGTGTATCCTCATTCAGCCGGGATCTCCCTGGAAATAAAGTAGATACCTTTCCTATTTTCGCATCTGGAAAATTGCAATACTGCAGTCGCGAGTGGTGCTCGCCGCTTGATAAATCAGTTGGAAGATAGAAAATTCTCCGAATTTTTTTGTGCAGCTACACATAAAGAAGAAATAAGAAATTATTATTTTCCTGTTAATTTGATATAAAACGCGAACTTTTATAGACAATACTTTTTCGTTTGATCGCTTCACGTCGTGGCATTGATTAATATTATGCTGGGTGGTATAACCGTCGTGCGAATACCTTGCAATTTAGCACAACTGCTTTCCCGCGCTCTTAAGTAATTATTATAATCAGCATAATTGTAGGATTATTCTTATTCTGGCGAAGTAAATCGCAGGGATAACGTCGCATGCTACCCGGTGGAAAAAGAATGAAAGTGCTATAACGGCATACATATAGAGAGCATAGTACGATAGAATCTCTTTGGTCGAAGTCGTGACGCCGACGATCACGAATCTTTCGCTTCCTCCACATCAACCCTTTCTGCATACTTTTTCTCCAGAGCGCTCCGCATAATAACGTTTTCGTGCGGGAATTGATACGAGAACATCTATTTTTACACAAGAACGGGCTATTTCGCGTTATCAGCACGATTTTTTTACAATATTTTGATTGCGACGTATAATCGTCGGCATTTTATCTTAAAACAAATCTATTGAAGAATTTTTTTCATAACGCCAAAGTGCTGACTCACCAATACTTTTCCTGTTTTAATGCATTTAATGCGTGTGTCAGCGGTGCTACTTGATTTGTGAATGGAGATTTATGGATACACTTTTTCTCTCTAACTTTAATTCATTTTTTCTAAAAGTGCAAAATATACGATATCTCTATTCCTAATGCGATTATGCTTCTTACAAACATGTTTATTAAAACGCAGACGACAATTAGCGATTGATAAATCATAACTGAAAAACTAAGTTTTTCATAATTACACTAATAATAATAATTTTAATGGGAAAAAATTGTTTCAGGCAAATGGTGTCCACGTAGGGAATGGAGTTCGCCTCCTGACGCGCAACGCGCGGCGTCCGACGCGCGTCGTGGTGTCCTTTACTCCTCGGTCTTCCTCGGCAGTCCCGGTAAGTAGAGTTCTTCGCACAAATCTGAAGGTTTTACACTTTGCGCTCTTCAATCGACTGTTATTAGCAACGAAGCTGAAATAAGACTCGTCATATAGTTTCAATTATTTTCAGTCTGCACATAACGCGACTGTGTGTGTCGGAGTGATTTCTACAAAAATTTTTTTAGATGCAGTGCACATTTGTAAATATTAGAATATCTTATTAGTCATTGGGAACACATTGCCAAATAATTCAAGCTTTTTACAAAAGCTTCTATTATAATACGCTATCATTTTTTATTAACAACAATAGTTATTCAATTATTATCTAACATGTGTATATAGATATTTCTCCCACACACTTGTGTTTATAAAATTTTTAAGGGCTTGTTTTTTGTAAAAGATTTTCTTCTATGACTTTTTATTTCATTGTACATATTATTTTAGTATTCTGTAATTCGTTCTATGCGTACTTACGCATTTTATTCTTTCTGCATTTTATCTATACAATTGTTATTTATACTTCTCTCTTTATCGGATTATGCGCTTGAAGGAATTAATCGTAAAGCGCTAACTAAGTAAATAATGCAAATGGGGTAATTAAAAAAATTAATTGCCTCTTACGAAGATTGCACAACTCTGCAATTTTTAAAAAGCAATTTATGTTTTTAACTACCAATATTTTTAATTATATTTCTTAAGTGTAATGTAAAGTATAAAGTTGTCTCGGTTGTACGTAATGACATTTGCCGAGCATAAATTTATTTTTATTCGCCCGAATTAATCTTCAATCATTTTTAACCGTGTGCTGCGCGTAAAGCGAAGGGAAAAGATGCGTCGTTTTATGTGTGCACTTGGTGTGCGTTGTGGGTGGAGCGAATCGTTGGCCGCATAAACAAGTCTTAATCGGCCTCGGGCTTTCGCTACGCTGAATAAATATTGATAACGGGTGACGCGACGGCCAATCAGAATTGCGATTTACGAAATAGGGCGCTTACATCCCGTTCGTTTTGCGCGCGAATCATTCGGCTTGGCGATGATTAGCGGACACGACGCTACGCACTGCATAGAATTGTAGAAAGCTCACTGGAAACTCTGTTGTTTATCCTTTCTAAATTAAGCTCGACTATAAAGAGAAAGTGCAACTCATAATATCACAATTTTACAAATCATTATTGGGATCAAGTATACGTAAGATATTTAAACTGAACAGTTTCAATATTTGAAAAAAAATGGTTAACAAGTAAATACACATTTTTTTTACGACAAAAGTTTTTCAATATTGGATTTCCGTTGTTTCACTTTGTTATTACGCGTGCGCGATCTTGTAGTAAGCGACATCGTGTCGACCTTCTTCGAGAGGCATCAAGATCCTCTCGAACGCCACAGATAAGCATCGCGCGAGAGGCACATTACGAGGTTGCGAGTGACTCGCGTTTGATAAGTGATCGAATCGTTCTGGAGATGCATCGAGCCTCGATATTGCGAAGGGCCAAGCATCACGCATGCGTACACGTTCGCGGGCTGTCTCCTCCGTCTGTTCCTCTCTTTCGACCTCCCTCTCTTCGTGGAGCAGCGGGTACCCTCCGCGAAGAAAGGACGAGGCGAGCGCGAGAGAGCGAGTCGCCCCTTGTCGTCGGAGAGAAGATCGGCGCTTGAGAGCGAGGAGGACGGGATATATTCGCGAGTGTGAGAGTGTCGGTCGGCATGCGAACGGAGCAGAGAAAGCGAGAGAACGAAAAGAGAGAGGAGAGGAGAGGAGAGCCGAGGGAAAGGGTGCCGCCATCTCCATGGCAACGAGGCGAGGCGGGAATGCGACGGTAACCATGGCAGCCGCGGGTTCCTCTCTCGGGCCGACCTGTCTGTCCCTCTTTCTGGCCTCTCGTCCTCCTCGTTCTCCTCATCTGGACCTCTTCCTTCCGCCCACGGAGCGGGTAAGCGGTCGCGCGGCCGCCGCTCCTCTCTCGAGCCGATCCGTAAAGAAAAGGTGGGGCGGACTTGGGCTCGCGCCGCTCCAGAGAAAGGGTTTTCTTTTTCTTCGTTTCCACCTTCGTTTCGCGCAGCCTCACGTGGATCCCTTTTTTTCCGTGTTTAGGAGCATCGGGTCAATTTCGATACGTGTAGAAAGTACTCGCGATAACGACCGCGCAGGGGTGAAATTTCGTTTAATTTGGCGTATTCAGATTGTATCTAAATCGAAAGTGCGATTTATGTCCCTAAGATATAAAATATCGAAATCGCAATGTACATGTCCTCACTCGTAAAATAATTCCTTCGCTGTTTCACTCGAGGAAAGTAAATGCGTGTAATAAAACGAAAAGCCTTATTCACTCTTTCCATTATATACGGTTTCCTTTGTATTTTTAATTATAAATTATCTCAATATTTTTCAAGCAAACAGCACGTCAAACCTGCATGTATTTAAGTGCGTAGTTGAAAGCTATCGACATTCTTCGACGCGGAAACGCGGTTCGCCACTCAGCTCTCGGGTGCGGAATATCGTAGACGCGCTTGATTATGTACGACTGTCGAGGAATCCTGAGATTCCAGGCGTCGTTTAACTCTCGATACGTTGCGCGACGACGCGGCGGCGAGAGTCGAGTTTCTGCGTCGACGACGACATTAGCGTGCCTCTGCATTTTCCCTGACTGCATATTTTCATCCGTTACGAACGCGATGACAGAGGCAGCTCTCGATGTCGCCTGCGTTTATTTCGAATTTTATAAGAACGTTTTAAAAATGGCATATTTTAATCGATGTAGCGATTTTTTTCGATTGTTATAGATACACGTTACGATCATTCTTGAAGAATATTCCAATTTTTCCTCGCAGCCTCGTTCCCACTTTAATAGCTCGTGTTTTGCCTATTAATTTAAAGAAAAAGTCGATCAATATACGATTTTGATCATTTAATATCAATGAAAATTAAAAGCTTCTCATATAAAAAAACGGCTTTATTTTTGATAATTATTTGAAGTCACTTTGAATAAGGTACCATTCCTATCGTAATTTTAGAGCGCGCGTTTGTTAAGTCGGAATTTTGACCGCGGCTTTGAATAGGGAGGAGGGTGGGGGGAGGGACAAAACGAATTAGGATGCGGTAACAAAACAAATTCGTCGAAATTTCGTCAGAGCCGGTACACGACCGCCCGCGCGCGGTGGATCTCGTTACGTTTACTGGTAGAAGGAGGTTAGCCGAGACAGGGAACGCGGGGGTGGATGCTAGAGAAACGGAGGTGAAAGAGGAGGAGAACGGGTGGAATTCTCTCGGTTTGGTTTTTCATGGGTCGCACATCACGTCCCTCTCTTCTCCCCGTTTCCATCGCGTGGAACCACCGTACTGTGCACACCCGCTACCACCCCTTTGCCACCCCCCCCCGTATCGCCCTGCAATAGCACACGGCATGGCTCCCTTTTCTGTGAGTGTGTAACGTAATGTAAGGGTTGCGCCCGCGTCGGCGTTTGGGGTGAGAGAGTTTAAAACCCCTCGGGGCTTGAGGTCCGGGCCGGTTAGATTTATCGGATGTTTTGGTTGGCGGCCATTGTTAGCCACCCTCTCTCTACTCTCTTCCTCTCTTTCACCACTCTACGCACAGTGGCGTAACTCGTGCTACGTCGTTGCTAGGAAATCATTTTTCAATCTCCCGCAGTGCATTTCGGATGTCTATGGGTGATGAAAGAATTGACGTAGCCAGATATATCATTCAAGTTTTACATTTCGTCGCGTTTTGTACTTTTTGGCTAATATAATAGCCACACTTCCCACGCTCGTTGTTCTGAATTAAATTATTAATATAATTAACAAAATTTATTAGAAATATAAAAGAGCCGAGAAAAAATTGCAAATTGCAAATTTTTTGCATTATCGGTAATATAAATTTATTTAAAAAAAAAACTTGTTTTGTATATACGATAATGTATATTGTACTATCTTAGATTAGTAATATCAATTTATATACATATTATTATTAATACATGTTATTAATAGAAACTTTTTCTGCAATGATGCATACAACACATGTTTTTACTTTCAATTGATGAAAGGATTTTTTTTCGCAATTTTTATTTGCTCAAGTTATCAATTAATAAGTAAAATATAAAAAGCGGCAGTAAAAAACGGCAACGTGAAAGAATAGGATAATGGAAGAAAATGTTTTATTGTTCAATACTTGATTATATCGTTATGATCCACCGTCACGAAGATCATCTCGTGGTATTCCGCGTGCAATCGTTCGTCGCAAAGCTCCTTCGTAACGCGGATCTTCAACAACCTTCTTACCGGCATTGTGCGCGGTAGTTTGAGCGGTGTTCAACCCCACGACTCGCGACCCTTGGGCACAACCCTTTCGACCGCAGTTCTGTTTGTCTCATTTCTTGGTACACCGCTGTTATCCAAAAGCAAGCGTGTATAGTTACGTAATTGATGCAATTCAACACGACAACCGAGTTTTGTTCAAAATTTACGTAATTATACTAATGTATGTTAATAATAATTTATCTAAGTGTCTTGTCAATGATGATATTTGAACATTCAGAAATATTAACAATACAACACATAATAAATTTCTTTTGGAAAGATTAGAAAAAAATTGTCTAAAAAAATTGCAATATTTCACCATTTTTTGCTTCTAATTTTAATGTAGAATACATCATAAACGATACAATGTGAGATAATGGTTACTCTAAAATAAATAAAAGAAATAAAAATTTTGCAGAGATGGAAAGAGAAAGAATATTCGAGTTTTGCAAGTGATTTCGAAATACGAGCTAATTGGGACTTTATCGGATAATGTCAGGAAAGTTTCATCACGACTATAGGCCTCGCGGAAGAGAATTCGTTGCTGGTCGAGAGCAAGTTACACAATAGCTGGCCCGGCGATAGGTGATGGCGGAGGAGAATAGCCGAGGTAGAGTTTCTCTCGCACGGAGAGCCGCCACAGGGCCACCTCGTGTTCTTCGATTAGCAAGAGACCGACCCGACCATGACCTCTCCCTCTCTCTGTCGCTTTTCGTCTCTCTCTTTTTTCATCGTCCATCGCGTATACCGTGCCATAGGTGGAGAAGATTCTCCTCCGGTCTCGCCTCCTCGCTCGCTCCGTTTCTCTCGTGCTTCATCTCGCGGCACTGATTGGACGATCCATCACTGTTGCTTCTCTCTCCTTCTCTCACTCGGGCTCTTTCGTCTTTCTCCGTCTCTCCTTCTTGTCCTCTCCAATGTCTATTGCCAAGGAGTCGGACATAAGCACACGTATGTGTCTGTATGCACACTCACTCATACACGCACACACGTGTATATACATATATACATATATAAATATATATATTCATGTATACATACGTATAAACTTACATATATGTATATACATGTATTATTATGTGTGTATGTTTAAAACATCTACGCGTGTAAGCGTTTGTTGTGTAGAAGCATGCGTGAATGTGACTTCATACACGAATTGTGTATATGTATACATATATGCGTGTATACTATAATATGTACACGCGTAGCGCTACGTTGTCACGCTACGTTGTACTCGTGCGACTCTCGAACGTATGCACACGCGCGTACCGGACTTTCGTATACCGGCGACCATCGCCCAGAGGGTCGGCCATTCTCGTAAGAGGGTGGAAGGGTAATTGGTTCCCATGGAGGCAGAAAACGCCTCGCTCGAAAATGTCTCGCCGAAACTGCACGATGCAGCTGGAAACGCATTAATGAAGATAATTGATAGAAGTAAAAGATAGAAAAACATGTTTTTCGGGGAGATACAAAGTTGTCTTTAACTACAGTAGTTGATGATCACAAGCAAATCACAGGGAAATAATTAACGATGACGGTAACGTCTCTGTTTTAACTTTTTACATTTAAAGATCAAAGGTATTCATTGTGATCACTGTTCTTCGATACAATTGTTGCAACTATACGTGGGAAAAGAAATAAAGTAGCTTGAATGCGAAAGAAATGTACGCGACGTGTGACACACACACACACACACACACACACGCACACGCACGCACGCACGCACGCATATATATATATATATTATATATATATATATATATAAAAGCTATAAAGGGAATATATAAGCTTGCCACCATCCACAGTTCGTATTCATTAGTTCCTTATTCAAAGCCACGGAAATAGTTCCAGAGTTGCGAGAGGCACAAAGCACAAAGCTCTGTCGCGGAACAAAGAGAGGCGAAGGGAAAGCGGTATAGGAGATAGTGAAAGAGCGAAAGCGAGAGAATTGCAGATTTCATGAAGCCCAAGATAGGCACAATGGTTTAGCTGGCGAGTACATCATCTCTACCTGCCTCCCTCGTCCTCTCTCTCTCTCTCTCTCTCTCTCTCTCTCTCTCTCTCTCTCTGCCTCTGTCCCGTTTTTCTTTCTCTATCTCGCTTCCTACGTGTCTCTCGGTCTCTCTGCAATATTCATATGTGTTGAATATATTAATGCGCCGAGAGATATGTAAAGCGTGCGCTGGAAAGTGCGCCGTCTCCGTTAGCTGCCTGCTTGCTGGCTGCTGTCTGCCTGGCTGGCTGGCTGGCTGGCTGGTGCAATATTAGTGAAATGTGTCTCGGAGTGCGCCCATGTGCGGCACCGATATTAAACAGCAGCCGTCATTGCATCTGCCCTCCCGTAACCCGTCTGCTCCATACGCGTTTTCAGTTTCCATCGGGAATCTCGTTGGTCCTTCGATTCCGGACACCCTCCGCAGCACTCTCGAATCCTTTTTCCTCTTAGTTTTTACTTCCGTTCTTCTGACTTCCCTTCGTGTCATCCCAATCCACTGGCTTTTGTCGTAATTCACCGAATAATTTATCGAAGGTGCAACGCTATTGTTATATTTTTGTATAAAAATTCGGTCGACGATTCGTTATTCAAAGGACTTGCTGAAGTAAATCATAATAGTTAACAACAACGCACATATAAGTTGTATTTATATTATTATAATCCAACTCAACAACAAAAGGTACGAGTTTTTTGTGTGTTTGCAGTTATATAAAGAATGATCCATTAGAAATAATATTCTTCAGAGATAATGCGTAAAGTGTCAGACTTAAAGAAGAGAAAATAAGTACATTATATAGTACAATTAATTATCTACAGATGCTGCTCGATGCTCTTTTAGACTTCCCTTTAGGATAATATTTTTAATGTACTCTTTCCAATACCAGTCAAGTCATGGCAGCCTCATATTACACATCGATGAGCGAGTTCTCTCTTTTAACCTTCGTATATGCAGATACGATGCTGAGGCTATTACTATGCAAAGTAATTACGACTTCACACCCGGCTTCTTGCGCAACAACACGCTCCAATGAGTATTCCATTTGCTTGATGATTCAATTTAAGCTTCAGCAGAATTTGTTTCTTGCGCGATCATATTTTAGCATTTATTTTTAAGAATATATCGTACAATGGACGCAATAAAGGTGAACGGGTCTATAGTAGCCGACTAATTGAAAACGAAAAGTTTACCAAGAGATCGTATCTCGCTCTTTGCAAAAGAGAGAAAGAGAGAGACACGAGGTACTCGCTGATATTTCCGAAGGAAGGAGACACGTATTGTAACTCTATTTCAAACTATGTATCGGTCCGCTTCCACAATTTTTTTGCGAGAGAGATGAATACTGCTGGAAGAGAGTGCTAGCGGAGGGCGAGTTAAAGCCGAGTGCAAGAGAAAAGGGGAACGTAGAAGGGGTGGGTTTCGCGATGTAACAATACGATGCAGTACGGTATAATCGGTAGTACCGGCACACGCCAACTTTCTCTCTCTCGTCCCTTCGCGCTGATCCTCTCGACTGTGTACCCTCCACCTCCAGCATGCCCCTGCACGATTCTCTCAACCTACGGCCCAGCCCCGGCAGCAGCAGCAGCAGCAGCAGCAGCAACAGCAGCAGCAGCGGCGGCAGCAGCAGCAGCAGCAGCACCCAACCCAGACCCTGGGGCTGTCAAACGCAGGCCGAATCTTCTTCTGCTCGTGACAGCCTGGAAATGAAGAGAGTGCCCCGCGTGGCGTATCCTACCCGCTTTCGTACGTTAACGCACGTTCTAGGTACGTACGTACGATTCGTGCACACACGTGCGAGCGAGCGGGCGCGCGCTTACATTATCCCTTTAATATGTGGTCGGGCACCGACGCGAATACCGCTCGTGGAATGAAGCGAGAAAATGGATCCACGGCTCTTTTTCTTTAGACCCTTCTTTCGTTCCCGCTTCTCGATCCTGACGATCGCTTCCGGGTGTATTTGCATCTTTGTATATCGACTATATCGGTTTCCGTTTAGTCGATTATGTAAATTGCGTGTTTGATTGTGGCCGCATTATTTGTTTTTTTTATTATGACATTTTTTTTAGCAGTTTAATATCTTACTTGAGCGACATATAATTGATTATACAGAGTGGATTTAAAAATAGTACTATTCCCAAGAAGTCATCCCGATTGTCCGCGTGTATCATTTACTGCACGCGTAGATTTTGACTTGTAGCTCTTTCATTGCTTTCTTTTTTTTTTTCTTATCGAGCGGGAGGTTTTATCGCGTTGGTAGTTACTTTAAGGAACGGGCTAAAGAGTCTGAAAGGGTCCCTACCCCGCCGATTACGAAGCACTTTTCGAGCGCGATCATTAGCGCAATTATTATTGTGTCGGAGCACAATGAGCGCACCGCCATCGCCGACAACAATGGACGCTGAAGGTGAAGAGGCGAAGGGATGAAGCGCGCGCACCGGCGATGAAGCGAAGTGGCTGGCCGTAGAAAAGAGGAGAGCCGGTAGATCGCCGTGATGGAACGAAATGAAAATAGAACAAAGGCCGCGAGCGAGCACGTAAAAAAATGCTAATGAACAGACGCGGCCATTGTCGTTAATTGCATTTTGTTTTCTACCGCGTAACTCGCGCCGACATCGTTTGACGGCAGTCCTTTCACGGCAACATAGAGCATCGCGATTTCTCTTTAAAAAAAATTTATCGTTAGACAATAGATGTCGTGAGTTCTCGTAACAATGTGGTACTTTTTATATCTTATTACAAGGATGCTCCGCTGAAAAATATTGACCTTAGACATTAGACATTACGATCTCTCGTTATGTGTCGATGCCTCGACACATTATGTACTTCTTGCGATAGGGCGAGTCTATCGAACAGTATTGCCGAGTAATGTTCGAGTAGTGAACTAAAGTACGACACGTTAAAGAACATGGTACGAGAGAGGTGCATCTGTTAAGACATGCGTCGAGATACTTGATTGCGTTGGGGCCTCGTATATGCTTGAAACAATGTTACCGCTACATTATGTTATTGCGGCATTACATTCCATTATACATGGGATCCATTGCACATAATCTATAAGTACATAAGAGCTTGTATTGTATTTTTCCAGTCACGCTCTTCTCTCATACTTCTTCTTTTTTCCATGCGTACGATGGATCCCAGTTGAGTATTGCTTAAAAAGTAAGTAATACTCTAAGTAAAATAATTAGATAATTTTTTTTATGCTGGATGATGTGTACATGTATCATGATATACATATAATTAACATTGAAGGAAATTATAAACAAATTTGCGATACGATAACGCAAAAAGTTGCAATCAATTTTAAAAGCGATGTTGAGATATGATATTATTCAGTTACTTATATTACATTTGGAGATGGCAGGGTTTATATAGAAACTTTCAAAAATTCTTACATAAACATTTTTCTTAATAGTATCCACTGCTTCTAATCACGTGTCCTTCTTTTATCGAGATTTTCTTCGTAATTGAGATGTCAAGCTTTCAGTCTTCGTTCATCTTTTCTCCTCTTCTCACCACCGAGAATGAGGCGCGCACAAATTATTATGCCGGACCAGGCGGCGGGACCTCTCGCCGTTATCTCCTCGGCTGCTTGTTTCTCACTCCGCTCTATTAGTTGCCTGTGTCCCAAGAATCTATACGGTGCGAGGTTGTCTCCGCGTTTTCTCCCCGCCGCCGCCACCGCCACCGACCGTCTTTGACGTCGGCGCGAACGATTCAGTAGGATCTAACGGAGTTCGGTGAAATACTGCGACTCGATTTCGACACTTCGGCATCATTAATTAGCGGTCCCGCACGACTTTTATTCGAGCTCCTTCGCGTTTAATTACAACGGCAAGAGAACAGAAGAGACGCGCGGAGATCGTCCCGTGTGTTACACACTACCGGACTACCTGCCGGACGTGACACACCGGCTCTCACGACCAACACGTGCCTCCGACTGGTATCGCCTGGTATCGGCGGTGTCAAACACATACAACCATGCACGTGGACCAGCACCAACTGACGTCGTAAACGCCGATCGTGTGTACGATTCGATAATGAGGTCGTAGCTCCTTCGAGCCACAATTGCGAGGGGTTAACGCGCGAGTATTTGTCAAGTATAATGGTACTCCAATTCATTTTTAATCATTTTTTGTTAAAATTGGATATAAAATTGGATATGTTATCATTAAATGTTCTGATAAAACATATAGATATAGAAATATTAAATAAAATTTTATTTTAAAAATTCATGTTTAATTTCAAATCGTGTGTTCGATCAATGCAATAACGGGTAACAATAGAGGTTGATTTATCATAAATACAGGTTGATTTTCAGCGCTACCCTTGAATTAAGCGGCCCTTTGTTTGTTTGTTGTTCCGGTTTAATTCTTTCGCGAGGTGTACCATCGAGGGTCCGCGGTATAGGTCAATGGGAAACTAATTGTCGGTGCTTGAAGGGTACAGTCAGAAGCAGAGGGGAGTGGCGTAGCGACGTTCGCTGTTGCTCGAAGGGTCGATTCGAGGGTGGTCGAAAAGTCTAAGCACTCGATGAAAGTAGCGGGCGGCGCGATGGACGATGAGACTAGACGGTTGCAGTGGTAGTGACGCCGTGCCGTGACGATAGTCGGTGGTGGTGCTGGTGGTGTAGTGATAGTGAAGGGAGAATGAGGACACTTGAGTGAAGAGGGCCGACAACAGATTGCCACGGCGAGAGAAACAATGCAATCCCGTCCCTCCCCTTGCCGCCCCTAATCTTCCCTTCGCGGATGCAATCCGCATGCAACGCGTGCTACGAGGCACTCGATGACTCGGCATCGAGTGTTTCAATGGCGTATTGACTCGGTTACCAAAGTGACACGATCACGTGTCCGCGCGCCGCGCTTTGATCCGCCTTGTATCTTCTCGCCTGAGTCGATAATAACAATGCAGTATAGTTAAAAGGCAAATGTAAAATTTTCTTGTAATATAAATGTGTATTTTGAATTAAAATTCGGCATGCAACATTTTTCAAATTTAATTTAAGTCGAAATTTGAATCTTATGATTTGCATTTTTTCGTTTGAGAAGTAAATTTATGTAAATAATAAAGAATTCGGATTAATACTTTCTAGTAATTTATATTCATTAATATTTTATTTTTTAGTGCGGTCTTATTTGAGCTTGAAATAAAAATTAGATCAATTTTCGTAATACATAGGCAACAGTTAGCTCGCCTTCTATCCTCTCCGTGTATCTTGGACACTTAAGAAATTTGCGAAATTGCAAGGCTCAATGCCCGAGGGTGCCGTTTACGGTATTCTTTAAATTCTGCCTGCGTAAAATATAAAGTATCGACATTATGTATTTATTATAATGCGACCTAGAGGCAGGCCGATCGAGCAGTCACGTTGCTCAAGAGGCCTCGAGAGAACCGCCGGTAGGAAAAGGAAGAGACTCGAGAGGGAGGGTCGGGAATAATCAATTTATCACTGCAGGTGCCTCTGCGCATTTACATACGCGACGACGTTGCAGTCGTGGTTCCGTGTTGTAGTCGTTGTTTTCGCGTTCGTGGACGCTTATGCGCGCGTGTGCGATTGAAATTGATGGTAGATGAGTTTATAGTGCTTTTTGCATATAAAAATCGATAAGAATATCGGAGTTACCATTAAAATAATCTCTTGTTACGGCATTCCGATGTTGAATATATATTTCAGGTATTAAATATCACACAAAAAATATTACACATGGCGCTAAAGATGTGCAAGTAATGGAGAGGCTCTTAAATATTATCCACAGAACGAATAATGTTACTTGAAGCGACGTTAAGACACCATGGTGACCTTGACGTCGCTTAACGGTACCTCTATAAATTCGTCTTCTTCATTAATCATGAGGAGAGAGACAGGGGTCGCGAGCCTTAAAATATCTTTTACATAATCTCCGAGTAGTAGCAGCAGCAGCAACACCGGCACGTGATGTTGACACGTGAAGGATCAACGTCCTGGATCGACGATTGGTTTGATCGCGGCGAGTCACGCTTTAAATATCTCATTCTAATTTTAATGGGGCGGGAACATTAATCGTTAACCGCGACCATCGGTAATCTGGTTCCATTGATTGGTGCTAAGGTCGCGCACTTAATCTATCTTTCTAAGTGCGCCGTAAAACCGACACTAATACGAGCGCAATCTGAGCATGCATTGATTTACGAGGTCGTACGATCGTCTGTCCACGCGCCGCGGTTCCCATCTCGAATTACGTTAATCGTCCTCGTAACCGATACTACGTTTGTTGCTCTAATACACAATATGTAAATTGCCTCGCGTTATTTCTGTTTCATACATTTTAATTTCACTTACGGTAAACCAAACATTAATTTTTTTTTTTAAATATTGTGTCGAATAGAATAAGACATCCTTGATAAATAAGTATACATTCGTTATCATTAATGCCTCGTAGATCACACTATAATGTGTCACGTAGGTCGCAATTTTCTACATTTTACGAACTTTTGTTTCGTCAAAGTGCGAATGTAGCGATGCTACGTATCGCGGTACTGAAAGCTACACGTTCTTATCCCTTCATTTCACCTTGATCGCTTCTTTTCCTTTTTTTCTCGGTGACTTCGCAGCGACAGCAACGACGGTCGGCGATAAAATAATCGTAAAGTAACGGGACGTCTCGCCCACGCGACGGGTCTTTCGTGCGACGTTACATACTCAAACACCTACTTCTTCTATCTGCATATCAGGCAACGCAACTTTTCCCTCTTCCGTCCGCCGCGCCGGTTCACTCTCATTTTGGCCTCTCGTGAGATAGCGACCGTGCTATGCGAGGCGTACTGCACACCGCCATAAGGGGTTAGCTTTACGACTGTCGATATTGCCATCGTCGTGTCGCTCTCTAGGTACGGTCTGACCTCGGAAACTTCTAGCTCTGTAAACGTATTCCCGCGACCTTACGTATGCCAGCTCATATTTACTTGCTTGCGTTATAAAAGATTCAAGCGTGTTATATTATGACATTTTTATGACAACTACTTAATTGTTACTAATATAATTTTTAATATAGTATTACATTTTTTATATAATAAGAAATATATAATATTCAAAACTTTAGAAATTTTTCAAATAAAATATTGAGAAAACAAGAGAACAGTATTCGGAAATGGAATTACAGTTGTCGTCATCGTCGTTGTCTTTGTTACAGCTGTCGCTGTTTTGTCTGTTTCAATTTCTGTCTCTTTCTCTCTTTTGCTTCATTTTTTCTACATTGCTATTTTTCTCTTTAAATCCCTTTATCTCGTCTTCCCTCGCTCACTTTGAAAGCTATTCTAAGCTGCGATCCCGCCGCTATTTTGGTTACGTTAAAAATGCATCCATCGAGTCACGTCAACGTACCCATTCGCCATCGCATCACCGACCTTTCTCATAGTCGGAGCCTAACGCTTCCACATCGATCTCTGATCTCCCAGAGATCACGAGGACAACACAACTCTCACAAGTAAAACGCCATTAAACGACCCGTTTGTACCGTCCCTTGGGGATGCTCTGGTTTGCTAATTGATGCCATTATAAATAAGATGTTTCTCGTCTCTCTTTGCTGTCATTTTATGTGCAACGAGTAAATCGCTGCATTGTGGCGATTTTAAATGCGAAGTTGTGTTTAGCGCAGCACTTTGTGATCGTAACGGGACGGGAGAATCCCCACGAAATGTGGATATCTTGTTAAAAGCGAACGAGAGAAATTCCGCGACTAATCGTGGAAGAGCAAACACTGGTTTGGTCCACTCGACTGGATTTACGAATTTTAGAGACATTATCAATTTGAATGTTGCAAACATGTATCGTTTCTTCAAATAATTTCGCGTCCTACACATTTTTAGTCGGGGTGAAGAGATGCTCCAATCAAATTCAGAGAATGGGAAAAAGATAGAATAGAAAGAAGTTAGTCGCAGCTTTGATATACGTGAGATGGAATTTGGTTTGATGGAATGTCGTTTCCATTCCAACCAATGGGCCTCCCTCGCTTCTTTCTCGACGTTTACCTCGTGCGCACTATCCTCCTCTGAGAACATGTGTGTGAGCCCGTGTTAAGACGACCCTCGCGTTTTCAGCCCACCGTCATACCAATCTCGAATGCTTAGGAATGGGCAAGTCTGTAGCCACCTAAAGCAGCCAATCGGACGGATCGCCA